ACGTGGGTGTGCGGTTCATGACGGAGAAGGAGTGCTTCCTTGGCAAAGGGGCAAGAAGCCATAAATGATTCTGTGTGTGTGTGTGTGTGTGTGTGTGTGTGTGTGTGTGTGTGTGTGTGTGTGTGTGTGTGTGTGTGTGTGTGTGTGTGTGTGTGTGTGTGTGTGTGTGTCGTTCCTGTTACTGTGCATGATGCACCCTTCCGGCCCATTCAGTGGCCGTCATGTTACATAGCGCTTGCTGTGCAAGGAGGAAGGGGCGAGTACAAACGTCTACTTTTCGAGCAATACAGCACACAAACCACAACACAGACAAGTGCTATTCCAAGCAAGCACCAGCAAATGGAGAAAGAGAGGGAGAGAGAAAAAGGAAGGGGAAAGGACAAGGCACAAGGCAAAGGAGGTGAAGACAGCGAACAGAGACACAACAATCAACACCAATTCCATGCACAGAAGCATCAGTTGCTGCTGGCGTCCATCGTCGTCGTTTCTCTGCTCATGCGTTGCTGCCGCCTCACTTTGTCTTCTTCTTGCCAGAGTCCTCACGCAGGGCAACGGTGCGGTTGAACACAATCTGTGGCAAGCAGCACACGATCAGTGGGCTAATGAGTTACACACACACGCACGCCACACACGCACACACACACACAAGACACACACACACACACACACACACACACACACACACACACACACACACACACACAGACACGCGCACACACAAACCTGGTCCTTCTTTGTCTCGGTGTCGACAGCAAAGTAGCCGATGCGCTCAAACTGGTACACGGTGCCGGGCGTCAGGTCTGCCATGGAAGTCGTGGTCGTGGGTGGTGGGCATGGCGCACGGAAGTGTGCACAAGTGTGTGAGACAAGGCACGATGTTCAGTGTTGAGACATGCACGCGCTGCTAGCTTGCACGAGCATATCCGCTCACTCACAGAGACAGACACAGACCCAGACAGACACGCAGACACTCACTCACATACACACTCTCACGCACACAAACACACTCACTGTTAACGCCCTCGTCGATCATGGCGTCAAAGACGTCGAGCGAGTTCTGGACATGGAATGAGCACGTGCACAAGTGAGTGAAAGGCAAAGTGGCCGTCGGAACAACACACACACACACACACACACACACACACACACACACAACTGGGCACGCGCGAGGTGCAGGGAGATGGCAGTTGCATGTGGTGCCGATGTCCGCGCACCTCGTTGACGTTCTTCATCATGTTGCCACCCTCCTGCGGGTTCTCTGTCTTGAACCTGAACGTGCAGCAGTGCATGGATGGGGGTGAACATGTGCGTTAACGTGCGTGATTATGTGTGCTACTGTCGAAACACGCGCACGCAGCCAGAACATTGTCCTTTTAGCATGGACTTGCCAACAACCGCACATGTGTGTGTGCGTGTGTGTGTGTGCGTGTGTGCGTGTGTGTGTGTGTACGTACAGCTGGTGGAAGACGAGGACCTGGGCGCGGCGGGGCTCCACATCCGGCGACGCCGACGACACCCAGTGGATAAATGCCTGCGCACAGATTCAGCAGTGGGTGAAAGATTGCGTGAGTGAGTGTGTGAGGAAGCGGGGTGCAGTGCACTCGATGTACGCAGCGCAGCGTCTCACGGGTACTCGCGCAGACAACAAAAGAGTCATCACGCCAAGATACTCACACGCTGACACACACACACACATACACACACAGACGCGCACATACATGCGTACCTTTGGCTTGTTCTCCTTTGTGGCGGGCTCTGCACTGACAACGAGCTCTGTGACGTTGCCGTCCGTGTCCTTCTTCACAGACTTGAGCGAGAGCACGAGGCCGGCGCCCTTGAGGCCAACCGGCTGCTCGGGCGTCAGCCGCTTGTACCCTGCACATCACATGGGGAACCAGGTCAGCGTGCAAGTGTCAAGAGTACGTGCGCGTGTTTGCAGCCAAGCGGCATCAAGGCATGAAGGAGAAGCCAACTCACGCAGACCCACAAACACACCACACACCGCACACACCAAACATCCAACGCACCCTTTGGCGGGTTCTCTGAGAAGTCGTCCCGGTCAATGTAGACGACGTTGCACATGTGCACGGTGTGCGTGCCCGCGGCCTCGTCAAGAGGGTTGTTCTGCATGGCCACCTCTGACGGGACGCAGTCGCCCTCAATCGTCACCTTGATTGGGTCCAGCACAGCCATGACGCGGCGCGCCGTCTTGTTCAGCAGGTCGCGCACGCACGCCTCAAGCAGCGCAGGGTGCGTCTGCAGACAGCACCGCAAACAAACAAGGTCGTGGCGGTGAGTGTGTGTGTGTGAATGCGGTTAGACACCGTGATTTGTTGTTGTTGTTGTTGATGATGATGATGACGATGACGCAAACGACAGCGCCGATGCAGATACGGAGTGCAGTGCAATGGTCTTCCACAACAACAACAACAACAACAACAACAACAACAACAACAACAACAACAACAACAACAACAACAACAACAACGACAACGACAACAACGACAACGACAACAACAACAACGACGACGACGACAACAACAACAACAACAACAACAACAACACGAGATGGTTCAGCAATGGTAGGCAGCACGTCATATGTAAACGCACCAGCGACTGGCTCTCTGTGACGCCGACTTTGTTGCAAAAGTCCGTGATGGCGGCGGGAGGGAACCCGCGGCGCCTGGGCGAGGCAGTGACGGCGCAACGCCGTTGCAGCAGGTGAGATAAAGCAATGCAGAGAACACACACCGAAACACAAAGAACACACACACAGGCACAGACCCGCCCCCCCCCCCACACCCACAGCTCCAACCTGAGGGCGGCGAGGGTGAAGAGGCGAGGATCGTCCCAGCCGCGCACAATGCCAGAGGCAATCAGCTTGCCAATCTTGCGCTTGGACACGAGCGCGTACGACAGGTTCAGCCGGCCGTACTCCCACTGCACACGTCACAATACAACAACGCACAGCCAGGGCGTGAGTGGCAGTGACAAGGGTGTGGTGAAACACGCAGACGAAGAAATCAAAGCCAAAACACACACTCAAACAAACACAGATACGCACAAAGATACACACGCGCACACAAGTACTGACCTGGACTGGGCAGTACCAGTCGAGGGCGTTGCAGAGCCAGTAGTAAGACGAGCGGCGGTTCTGGAACTCCTTCGTGCACAGCGAGTGCCTGGCACACACACACACACACACACGTACATATGTCAAAACAGCGATGAGTGAGACCTGAGCAACGCAAGCAGCAAAGGCAACAGAGGCAACAACAGCAACAGCAACAATTGCACGAGTACTTCGTTGCCAAGACGCAAAGACGAGGCAAACATCCTCTTCCCTCCCCTCCCTCGCTTTGTCAGCGGCACAAGTGCTCGCACGTGATGTTCTCCAGCGAATCGCAGAGGCAGTGGGTGAAGTCGTAGGTCGGGTAGATGCACCACTTGTCGCCCGTGCGCGGGTGCGGCGTGAACTTGATGCGGTACGCAACAGGATCAATCTTGCCGTCCTGTTGGGTCGTGGTGGCAGTGGAGATTGTGTGCACATGATAGGGTGCCATGCAGGCGCACGTGAGCATTGACAGCGGCGTCAACAAACAAACACACATTGCCATCATACACACAACAACAACAGCAACATCACCAGTGAAGTCTCAACCTCCCTCCAATACCACGCACAGCTTATGTGTGTGTGCGTATGCATGTGGATGTGCATGTAAATGTGGATGTGGATGTGTGGATGTAGATGTGTGTGTGTGTGTGTGTGTGTGTGTGTGTGTGTGTGTGTGTGTGTGGATGTGGATGTGGATGTGTGCGTGAAGATGTCTCACCTCCATGATGTGCTTCATGCGGAGTGTTGCCTTGCCCTCGTCAATGAGGCCGCGGCGCATGTCTTCAAACAGCTGCAGCGACTCGGAAATCGGCCGGTCCCGCCACGGTGACTCCTTCCGGTCTGCATACCCTTTCAGCTGCACACGCCACACACGCCACACACGTGGGCAAACATTGAGCAGACAAAAGGTACAATACTTGGCCGTCAGTGTCTTGGTTGTGGCGGAAGCGACACACACAAATACGCACACGCACACGCACGAAGTTCGGCCTCTTCACCACACCACCCCAACCCCCCAGCAGTATCAACAGGAGTACCAACAGCCACGCACACACCTCCTCGGCCTGCTGGTGGCAGACGTATGCCTTGTCGCGCTTGATCAGCTCAACAGCGGCCGCGTACAGCTCGTCGAAGTAGTCTGCGCACCACAAGCATGGTCAGGCACGCATGAGCACCCGTTGCACAGATAGAGAGAGAGAGTGTGTGTGTGTGCGTGCGTGCGTGCGTGCGTGCGTGCATGCATGTATGTATGTGCGTGTGCATGTTCATGTGTGTGCGGCCCTTACCGGAGGAGTGTGTGATTTTGAAGGGGGTGTGTCCGAGCCACGTGACATCGCGAAGAATGCCCCGGAAAAACTCCTCGTCCTCGGCCTCAGGGTTGGTGTCATCATACCTGGCAATCCCAGATGATTTTGTCACAGCAGTGAGCACACGTCACAACTACGCCACAAGTAACAGAACACCCCCCCCCTTAGACATTCACACATACACACACATACACACACACATACACACACATACACACACACACACACCTGAGATAGCAGTTGCCACCGCGGTCGCGGGCGTATGCAAAGTTGAAGGTGATGGCCTTTGCGTGGCCAATGTGGAGGATACCGTTTGGTTCGGGCGGGAAACGCGTGTGCACCTTGCCGCCGACAGCGTCGTAGTGCTCCTTCAGCAGCCGTACCGTGTTGGGCGTCAGCACATACCCGTCCGTCTGGTCGTTCTCGCCCACGCTGTGGAACTTGGCTGCGGCGCCCTTGAACGTCACTTCCTCGGGCGTGTCGGCGAGCTCGTCCTTCTTCTTCTTCTCGGCCTTTGGCTTCTTATCCTTCACCTTCGTCTTGACAGGCTTCTTCATGTCCTCCTCTGTCTTGGGGCCCAGCACTGCCAGCACCTGCGCGTCAACCTCGGCCTTCACCGCCTTCTGGTCCGCCCATGGCTGCAGCGCACGCACGCCACCTTTGCCCAACACATGCGCATGTGTGTGTGTATGAACGTGTGTGCTTGAGTGAGCGCGTTGGGTAAGCCGGGTGCGCGCACAGTGCGTAATGTGCGGTGTGTGCGCGCGCGTGTGTGCGTGTGTGCGCGCGCGTGTGTGCAGTTCATACTGATGCACGACTTGCACGCCTTGTGCCACTTGCATGCATGCATACGTGCACCATTCTCGACCACCACGCAATCGCCATCCCAAACCCCACACAACCTTTCGCTGGCGGCTGCTTACCCATGAGCTTGCCAATCGGGAAGCGGTAGCGCTGCTTCTTGAGCTCCGGCAGGTTGTCATCAATCACCTTCTTCACCGCAGCGGTGATGTCCTCGGCGGTGACAGTGATGCCAATGCCGCACGCAGACTCAAATCCGCTCATGTCACCGCGGCAGCCGCGGAAAAACGCAAGGGCAGCTGCACAGGGCATCCAAAACCAAGGGAAGCAAAGGGAAGCAGAGGGAAGCCAAGCAACGCGGAGCAAAGTGAGGGGTGAGAGCTGAAGACACTGGCGTTTCGTTGTGTTGCAGGCTTGTGGGGGTGGTGCCGCAATATGGCAGTGAGGGAGAGGAGGGGAGAGGGAGGCAAAATGGAGCAAGATCAAGGAGGCATGTGGGAAGACGGAAGCTTGAGCGCAGCTGCTCACCATCAAGCTGCGGCCTCATGGTAATCTGGTTGTTCCTGCAACATCCGCAAGCGTAGAAGGACAAGGAACGCACAAAGTAACATGAGAAGAGCGAGCGAATGGGCGCGAATGATGGTGGTCGAAGGGGCAGCCTTGTTCAATGTCGCTGCCGGAACGGAAGGACACATGTTAACATGCACATACACAAACTCTCTCACTCTCTCACCAACACACATACACACACTATCTCTCTTTCTGTGCGTGGTACCATACGTGATTGCGTCGTAGAGCTTGTTGATGTACTCCTCTGTCATGAACTTGCTCTTGGGCAGCAAGGAGGCCAGAGTGAACAGAAGCGTGGCATGACCGGAGTCCAGCTCATCCTTGCCATACTGTGGGGGTGAATGGAGTGAGCGAGTGTGTGTGTGTGTGCGCGTTGTGTGAGGGAGTGAGGGAGTGAGGGAGTGTGCGTGTGTGCATGTGTGTGTGTGTGTGCGTAGGTGTGTGTGCGTGCGTGTGTGTGCATGTGTGTGTGTGTGCATGTGTGTGTGTGTGTGTGCGTGCGTGCGTGAGTCGATGTTGGGCATGTGACAATCCAGAGATGCCAAGGCAAACATAGAAGCACTTGCGAACACGTGTGTGTACACGCACGCGCTGCTCCGAGGTGATACAAGCTTCTGCACACAAACACACCACAACACACCAAATACACACCTTCTCGAGGAACGAGAGGAGGGCGTTCGTGGTGACCTTGTTCTTCTCGACCTCGACGACCTTGGAGTCGTTGAGGCCAAATTTCTTCAGCTTATCCGCCACACTTGTCATGATGTCGTTGTACTCGTTGTGCTCCTGAACCTGGAGTGCGCGTGATGTGAGCGAGGTGAATGCGGGTTGTCGTGGATGCGAAGCAAGCAAGGAAAGTGAATCAAACCAACGCAAGCACAGCACAGCACAGCACAGCACAGCACAGCAAAGCAGAGGTGTGCGCCACCCACACCACCACACACAGCACCACCACCATGCCATGCCACGCAAACAGCAGCAGTTACACAGCTCGCACCATCCACACGTGAAAGAGAAGTTGCTGAAAATATCCATGAAATTTCGCAATTGACACAACACAAAACAACAAACAAACAAAACAACAGCAGTAGCCAGTGCACGGCGGGGAATGGGATGGATGGAGGAGACAGTTGCGGTTGCGTTTGGAGCGAGGTTGGTGTTGTTGGGCTGCAGTTGGCTGTGTGCGAGCTGGTTTGATCCCTATGACACCTCCCTTGACATCTTCTTCCAGTATGACAATGAAGCAGCCGACAACGACACCTTTCACTGCCCGTCCATCGTGCAAGCGTGCGTTGATGTTGATGGTTACATGTGTGCGTGTGTGTGTGTGTGTGCGAATGTGTGTGTGTGTGTGTGTGTGGACGTGTGTGTGCGTGTGTATGTGTGTGCGAATGTGTGTGTGTGTGTGTGTGTGGACGTGTGTGTGTGGATGTGTGGACGTGTGGATGTGTGGACGTGTGTGCGGATGTGGTGTGTGTTCACACGGATACTTGTGGTCATGCAACACTTCTTGCTGCCGCAGCACAGTGGCGTGTTGCTCGGATCTTACGTGTGTTGGCATGTGCTTGGAACAGGCTCGCCACATGGGATGGCGTGTACTTTGCCAACATTGCGTGCCACGGCTATCAACATGAGCAGGTGTGGACAATGCACCCACAGTACCAACATGTCTTTCAATACCTTGTCAACCACAAGCACCACGCGCATTCTCTCGCAGCGGCATCCACGCCGCTACTGCTTTGAATCACACCGCCTCACTGTCTTTATAATGTGTATGTGTATGTGTGTGCGTGTGTGTGTGTGTGTCGCATGGCTTCTGGTGCAGAACTTTGCGTTCTTCCCTGGTCTCGCAGCGATTGGCTCGTGGGCGCGAGGGATGCCGTCTTGCCGGTGCTGGGCAGCAGCCAGCATTGAGGCGGCCAACGCGGTTGCATTCTTCCTTGCCACTGCCATGTTGTTCAAGCTCACACGCGAGGTGAGGTTCCCAATGAAGAAGACAGTGCAGCGTGTCATGGCTCTGGACTCACGCACGCAGACACACAAGAAAGCAGCCACAACCACAACAGCGTCAATGCATGCAGACACTCACCCATGTAAAAGCGCGCATGCATTTGTAGACTGACGTACACACTCACTCACTCACTCACTCACGCACTCACTCACTCACTCACGCACGCATGCACTCACACACTCACGCACACACGCATGCACTCACACACACACACACACACACACTCACTCACACACACACACATGTGCGACAGGTGATGGGCAACGAGAGGGATGCGCGTGTTGCTGCGATGTTGTTCGCTGTAAATCCGGCGCTGCCATTCTTTGGCGCAGCCTACACAGAGTCCATCTTTGCGCTGCTCGTCTTCTCTGCACTGTATTGGCTGTTCAGAGGCAACTTTTACTGTGACGATGTCTACGGCGAGGATCAAGGCCACACAGTGGTCGAGACACCTCCCAAGACCCCGGCGTCATCTGCTGTGCTGCTCAGGCTGCTGCCTGCAAGCATTCTCTTCGCACTGGCAACGTGCATGCGGTCCAACGGCGTTGTCACTGCAGGTGCGTCTAGATGCACCTGCCAGTTTCACTTTGATGAATGTGGATACAAAGAGCCACTCGCCACACAACACCTAACGCACACCACACGCACACCCCATCAACCCCTCCTGCCACAACGCTTCTTGTCCAACTCCTCCTGACCCGACAGCTTTCTCGTGCGTGCGTGTGTCTGCTGCTGCTGCTGCTGTTATGTACTCCGTTTAGGCTTCGTTGTCCACTTTGCGCTGTGCACGTCCTCGTCAATCCCGCGAGCGCTGGCCCGTGCATGTTTCGGGGTAGCGATCATCGTTGCTCCCTTCATTGCGTTCCAGGCATACGCCTACACTGTGTTCTGCATCGACCGCACGGGTGATGATGGTCACACAACTGTTGCATATGATCCGCCACCACCATGGTGCAACAGCACCATTCCTTCCATCTACGGGTACATTCAACATCATTACTGGCACGTCGGCTTCCTCCAACAGTACCAGGCAGCGCAAGTGAGCACGCCCATGCTGCTACTTGTGTGTGTATGTGTGTGTGTGTGTGTGTGTGTGTGTGTTTGGGGGTGATGGGTGTGTGTGTGTGTGTGTGTGTGTGTTTGGGGGTGATGGGTATTCACTTTTGGGACGCGCATACACCCACTCCTTCCCTCCTATCCACTGCCAGCGCCTTTTCCCGTTCCACATCAACACACACACACACACTTCACATCACACACACGCACACATCACAGCTTCCCAACTTTGTGCTTGCTGCACCTGTGATGGTTGCATCTGTCGCTGCCGTGTGGACGCACGTGCGGTTGAAACCGGAGCATTTATCCACCCTCGCTCTTCGCGGGCCCGTGGGTGATTGCATCACGGACGCCATGGTGCCCCTGGCCTCGCTGCTCCGCCACGCACGCCATCAGAAGTCGCCAGCGCCACAAGTAACCGCGGCAGCTGCAACAACAGACACATCGCCACCAGCAACAGCTCCAGCTTCAGCCGTCCAAGCACACGCACGCGTGCATTCACAGCACCATCACCACGGTGCGCGCAAACGCCAGACACAACAGGGCCACAATCGCACAACGATGATGGCGACAACGACAACACCTGCAATCACGCGTCCGCCCCGCACTCGTGCTCATTGCAATGCGACCGCTGGCGGGTTTGGGGATGGGCGGGTGTTTGTTGTTGCCGTGTACCACGCCTTTCTGTCGCTCTTTGCGCTGCTCACCATGCACGTGCAAGTGTCCACGCGCCTGCTCGCCTCTGCCTCGCCGCTGTTGTACTGGTTTGGCGCCCATGTGTTTCGCACGGGTGCGTGGTGGCAAGGAAGTGTGTGGCTGCGCGTGTCGCTTGCATATGCCGTCATGGGGACTGCCCTGCACGCCCTTTTCCTCCCATGGACGTGACATGCATGTGCGTGTGTGCTTGTGTGTTTGGATGTGCATGTGGATGTGGATGGATGGATGGATGTGTGTGTGTGTGTGTGTGTGTGCTTGTGTCCAATTGTGTGTTGCACATTACATCACGACTGTAGAAGTGTCAGCGCTTGCATGTGCATTTCTTCATTTACGTGCAGTGTGGACTGCTCGGTGAGGGGTCTCAGTGTGCATGCCAACATGCGCATTCAGATGTGAAAGCAGGGGATGTGGCTCACAGGCATAGGTAGTCGATTAATAAACGAATAGGCATGATTAAACAAGGCAACACAAGATGGAAGCAAGAACACAGCAATACTGCCGCTGCTGCTGGTGGTTGCTGTGCGGATTGTGTGTGTTCGGGTGAGGGTGGAAGTGGCGGAAATAGGTCATTGGTGTTGGCTACTGAGGTGCAGCAAGCGCGGCAACAGCGCGTTCAGCTGCGCCATTGTCTCCTCCTGCCCGCGGGACAGCCTGCTCTCAAGTTGCTGACACCACCACAGGTCAGGGAAAGGGGGGATGGGACGAGGTGTGAGTGCGTGAGCGTGTGTGTGTGTATGTGTGTATGTGTGTGTATGTGTGTGTGTGAGTGCGTGTGTGTGAGTGCGTGTGTGTGTGAGTGCGTGTGCGTGTGAGTGTGTGTGTGTGTGCCTGTATATTTGGCGTGGGGAGGTACGAACACATGCGAGATGGTGGGATGCGTCAGACCACATTTATGCTACCTTGACAGTGTCACTGACGGGAAAGGACATGGCAGCTTGGACTTGGGCGAGCGTTTGGCGAAAGTGGTGCAGGTCTCTCAGGATGGACTTGGCAAGGTCAATCATGGCCCTGCATGCGCATGTGTGCGCGCGCGTGTTTCAAGGGATGTGGTGTGAGTGTGCAAACACACACACACACACACACATGCACACGCATACACATACACACACGCGCGCACAAGGAGGATGTCTACTCACTGGTGGAGGTGTACGGGGAGGTCGATGAAGTTGCTGGGTTGTTTCGCGAGCTTGGTGCGAATGGCGTCTTTCCTCGATACAAGCATGCTCAGGTGTTCCGACAGCGAATCAACCTTCCCTTGCATGCCCTCTGGAAGAAAGAGAGGGTGTGTGTGTGTGTGCGTTTTGGGAAAGCGAAGAGGATGAGGAAGGCCGAGGAAGGATGAGCTGCGACTCTGCGCAACCTCCGCAGCTCTCAACAGCACACACACATATATAACAACAACCACACACTCACACACTTGCACACACTTGCACACATCACACACCTCCACACACACACACACACACACACACGCACACACACATACGCACACACGCACGCACGCACGCACCGAGGGCTTCTGGGGAGAGAAGGCGAGCAAAGCGAGAGCTGTTCTCCTGGTGCGCAGCTTCTAACTTTGCAGTGTGGAGCCGCTCCAACAATTGGAGGTGTCTCTCCGTCTTTTCAATCATCTCCAATGATGGATGCTCAGCCTGTCTTCTGCTCTGCGCTGTTCCCGGCTGCCCCGCAAGCGCATCTTCCACCTCCTGCAAGCCAACAACAACAACGTAACGGTCACGCTTGCCAGTGAGCGCACGAAAAAGGCTGCATGGTGTTGCTGCCGGCGCTGCAACAGCAGCCACCACAAACCACAAGGGCACAAACTACCGCTCGCTTCATCAACGCACCGCATGAGAGAGGTGGCCCGTGCCCTGCGCCAGCGTCAGCAAGCGATCCGAGCTGCCAAGGTCGAATGCAAAGTCATACGTGTCCGACTGCCAAGGGTTGGCCATGATGTGTGTGTGTGTGTGTGTGTGTGTGTGTGGCGTGTGTGTGTGTGTGTGTGTGTGTGTGTGTGTGTGTGTGTGGTGTTGTGTTGTTTGAATTCGTGCAGCGCCGTCATCTGGTGGATAGCGACGGTTGTAAAATTTCAGTGCGCACTAATCGCACGGTTCAAGCCAAGCGCAGCGAATCGTATATTTGTTGACTCATTTGCGAGCTGTTTTGCGCACCCACAATCAATCAAAAGAAGCCAACGCTGCAAACACAAGGTTTTGGAGAAGAGAAGACAGCGAGTGACCGTCGCTCACCCTGAGCTGAGACTCAACCTCCAGACAACACACAGCCAGCTGCTGCTCCTGCTGCTGCCCCTGCTGTTGCGGCTTTGAACACCCCCCCCCACGCAGACACAACACACAGCCATGTTTGAGTGGTTCGACCGGTTCATCGGTGAGTTTTAATCAGCGATGGTGTGTGTGCCTGTGTGCGTGTGTGCCTGTGTGCGTGTGTGCCTGTGTGTGTGTTTCTGTGTCTGTCTGCGCGGCTTATAGGATGAAGTGAGAAGTGAGCAGGAATGCCGAGCACAGCGCTGACTGTCTGTCGACCACCTATTGTGGATGCATGTGTGCGTGTGTGCTTTAGACTGGCTCAAGAGCCTGTTTTGGAAGGAGGAGATGGAGCTGACCTTGGTTGGCTTGCAGAACTCTGGCAAATCAACTTTTGTGGACGTCATCGCGGTAAGCCCAGCAGTTGTGTGCGTGTGTGTGCGTGCGCGCGCATGTGTGTGCATCTGTGGGTGTGCGCGTTTGTATGCATGCGTGTATGCTGCATGTGTGCAAGCAAGCAAGCACCTACATTGCTGCGCACATGATGGCGCTTATGTTAACGCGTGCTTCTTCACGTCCGCTTTGCAGTCTGGCAAGTACAACGAGGACATGCTGCCAACTGTTGGGTTCAACATGAGGAAGGTGACAAAAGGCAACGTCACAATCAAGGTGAGGAAGACCCAAACATGACAGCGCTGTGAACGATGAAGGCTGCAGTGTCCTGATCGCTCTGTCGAATAGAATAGGCCCTGCGTACAATGGTTGCGGTTTTCTCAATAACCTGCCTGTCTTTCCGCTTGCGTGCCTGCTTGGCAGCTGTGGGATATCGGTGGCCAGCCCAGGTTCCGCAGCATGTGGGAGCGGTACTGCAGAGGAGTCCAAGTCATCTTGTAAGCACATGCACGAGCGCGAGTGTCTATGTGTGTATGCGTGTGTGTGTGCGTGTGTGTGTGTATGTGTGTTATGTGTGTGTGTGTGTGTGCCATGTGTGTGTGTGTGTGTGTGTGTGTGTGTGTGTGTGTGTGTGTGTGTGTGTGGCCATGTGTGTGTGTGCTTGTATTTATCACTTGAGGACGTCTTGCTACCCCACTTGTGTGCTCTGTGCTGCCCTTTGGACCTCATTCATGATGGCCCTCTCGACTCACGTGGCTGCTTCTTCTTCTTCTCGATTGCTGCCAATGTTGACAGGTACATGGTTGACTCCGCCGACACAGAGAAGCTTGAGGCATCCAAGCAGGAGCTGAAGAGCCTGCTCGAGAAGCCGCACCTTGCCGGCATCCCTGTTCTTGTGCTCGGCAACAAGAACGACCTGCCAAAGGCGCTCCAAGCCGATGAGCTCATCCAGGCCCTGTACGTGTGTGTATATGTGTGTGTGTTTGTGTGTTTGTGCGTGGGTATGCGTGTGTTTGTGTGCGTGGGTATATGTGTGTGTTTGTGCGTGCGTGAGTGTGTTTGCCTGTCTGTTCGTTTTCTTGTGCGTGTACATACCTTTCTGTGTACTTGTGTGCTGTGCGCTCACCTCGTATTCCCTTGCATTCTCTCTCTCGCTCTCTTCTTCCTTCTCCCTCCTCACCGTGTCCCCTCATCCCGTTAACCGAGCAGTGGCCTGAAGGACATCCAAGACCGGGAGGTGTGCTGTTACAGCATCTCCTGCAAGAGCAAAGTCAACCTCGGTGCGTGCACTTCAGCAGCTTGGGTCTTCTGCAGTGGCAACAGCCGCCTGTTGCTGCTGCTGCTGCTGCTGCTGTTGTTGCTGCTGTTGTTGTTGTTGTTGTTGTTGTTATTTCTCGGCTCTTCTTCGTGCCCTCGCCGCAGCACACACACACACACACACACACACACATATCCTTGTTTGCGCGCGTACTCACAACCGCTACCGACATTCCCGCCTCTTCTTTTTGTGTTTTCATGTTCCAGACATCACATTGAAATGGATCATGCAACACGCCAAGGCATCGTAATCCCCAGCGCCCCTTCCCCACACACCGGCCGCTTGTGCAAACACGACCACCACCTCCCAATGTGTCTTCGTTTCGGCCCCCTCGCACCATGCATGCATATCCTTTGCGTGGCTCGGCACACGCTCCGTGCACCCCCTCCTCTACAGCATCACCACGCCACTTTCTCTCGTCCTTCTTCTTGTGCCACTCCTGCGGCCCATTCAACCCCACTTGCATATCTTTTCGTTGTCTTCGTTTCCTTCGTTCTTAGGCCCACTTACCCCCTCCGCTGCCATGCTTCCACCCCCTCCCCCTTTTCTTTACCCTTTGCCGTGCGCATGTGTTTCTTGTCCATTATGTGTTGATGCGTCTGCCGATGTGTGTGCGCCTCTCCACGCAAGCAGGCGCTATGGGAGGAGACACGTGGTGTTTTGCATCATCCCATCTCGCACGCACATGCCAGCGCTTTGGACTCCACACACGAACATACACATACAGACACAAGCACCCTCATGCAAGGCGTCTTTCTCTTACTTCGACGGCCATCCTTGATGTACACGCAACAGCTGTTATGCTTCTCTCGCCTGGCCTCTCCTTCCTTTCTTGTGTTGCGTCGTTGCTTTCCTCGTCTCTAACCGTTTGCACCAGTACAGCTGCTCTGGTTTATGGTTCTTTCACGCCGTATCACAAACCCTCAAACACAAACAACAAGAGGAGATGGGGAGGGTTCTTGCATGCTTATGCTTGCATGCATGCTGCACACGCACGCATTTCATGCAGGCAACGGTGAGCGTCTCGTTGCAAGGCGCTCCGCCTGCTACTCCTTTCCTCCACATTTCACTTCTGCACTGGCTTGAGGAGCGCCGACACGACAGACTTGACGTTGAGTTTGCGGAGGTCAAAGTAGTGCTGTCCCGTTCCCACAAACACGATGGGCTGGCCCGTGATGTATGTCATGGAGATGGACGACCCAACCTGCCAGCCATTATTGTGTGTGTGTGTGTGTGTGTGTGTGTGTGTGTGTGTGTGTGTGTGTGTGCGTGTGTGTGTGCGTGTGTGTGTGTGTATGTGTATGTGTGTATGTGTGTGTGTGTGAACACGTGGTGAGCGTGCTGTGTAAAGGTTGCGTGTCGTTATCCCAACGGCAAGCGCGATGGCACCACCACCACCACCACCACCACCACCACCACCACCACCACCACCACCACCACCACCACCACCACCACCACTGAGCAGATGCGAGTCCCCACCTTGTCGTCAACAGTGTCGAACTTTGTGAGAAGAATGCCGTCAATCACGCGCGGATTGCGCTCCTCAGAGTAGTCTTGCAGCGCCTGGGGGACGTGTCATGAGAGGTGAGGAGGGGCGGGGTGAGTGTGAAGGTATGAGGTGACTGTGATTGTGAAAGGTCGTGTTCAAGCATGATTGTGTCGTGAGCAGGTGAGGGGATGTGCAGGTGACGCACCCGGTTGAACTTTGTCAGCTGATCGACGGCCTCATTACCGACGAGCGCCTCACCGACGAAGAGGACGAGATCCGGCTTGTTCGTTCGAATCAGCTGATTGACCAGAGGAAGCAAATGTACAATGTGTGTGTATGGATGTGTATGTGCGTGTGCGCGTGTAATGTGTGTGTGTGTGCGTGGTGTGAGGGGATGGGAGCTCCAACAAACAAGAAGGCAATACGTTCAGCAATAAACTTGAAACAGAAACGATGACACATACATACATACATACATACATACATACATACATACATACATACATACATACATACATACATACATACATACATACATACATACATACATACATTACATACATACATACATACACACACACACGTACGCATGCACATACACACAGGCATACACACTCTCTGCACCTGTGTGAGGGAGCGCATGAGCGGGGCGTTGTCCTGCATGCGGCCGGCGGTGTCAATCAGCACCACATCATACTTCTCCGATTTGGCTGTGAGACAAGAGGGGATGGATGGATGGATGGATGGATGGATGGATGGATGGATGGATGGATGGATGGATGGATGGATGGATGGATGGATGGATGGATGGATGGATGGAGGGATGGATGGATGGATGGATGGATGGGACGGGGTTTGAGAGAGAACGGTGTCATTCAATATGAGGTGCTGGAATGACGTCACAACACACAGCATCGCAATTTGCAAGCACCGGCGCGCAAACACAACACAACACAACACAACACAACACAACACAACACAACACAACACAACACAACACAACACAACACAACACAACACAACACAACACAACACAACACAACACAACACAACACAACACAACACAACACAACACAACACAACACAACACAACACAACGCAACGGGCAAAGAAAGCATGCGTGCTGACCGATGCGGATGGCGTCTGCCGCGACCTCGGCGTCGTTCCTGCCGTACCCGCGGTCGTACACAACCACGCGCGGGTGGGCATCGTCCGTGTCGTCCAGCATCGTCCGGAGCTTGCGGCAGTGCGTGCGCAGCTGATGGAATGGAGGCAAGGAGGGGGGGGGGCGGAGTGAGGAGGGTGTGGTGGTGAGAACAGAGTGAGGGAGGGGGAAACGAGCGCAGTCGTGCATTGTGGTCTGGCAGCCTCTACTGCCAGCCAAGGAGGAGGAGGCAAACATTCACGACAACACACACACGCACACACGCACACACACACACACAACATGAGAGGGCGGCCACGCTACGCACACGTGTGTATGTGTGCTTCTGACCTGCTCGACGGCGCCGGAGCGGAATGTGTCGCACGCCGCAATCATCACCCGCATGTTGTTGCTCAGCAGCCAAAACGCAATCTTCGACAAGTTTGTCGACTTGCCAACGCCTGCGTAATGTAACGAGCATCCGGGCGTGAGTCGCATTGTGTGTGTGTGTGTGTGTGTGTGTGTGTGTGTGTGTGTGTGTGTGTGTGTGTGTGTGTGTGTGTGTGTGTGTGTGTGTGTGTGTGTGTGTGTGAGCATGCAGGCGTTTGTAAGACGAAATATGAAGACTTCAGGCTCACTTCACACCACTACCACCGCCACCACCGCCATAGCCGCCTCCACCACCATGAAGCCGTAATGATGATGACGGTGGCGCTGTGGGATCTGACCGTTGACGCCGCAGAAGACCATGCTGAAGGGCCGCCCCTCCTGCTGCGCCGCACGCACGTCCCGCAAGATGTCAATCTGGCGCTTGGGCGACAGAATCTGCGTGAGCGACTCCTCAAGGGCCTGCTTCACAACAGACTTGATGGTGGTGAAGGTGCCCTTGGTGCGCCCCACAAGCTTCTCCCCCACAGACGCGCACAGCTGCAGCACACACACACACACACACACACGCATTATGGTTGCGGCAATGTTGTGTTTGGAAAAGCGCGAGGAACCATGGAAACGGTGGGCGCGTGAGTGCATGGAATGAGGAGCAACAAATGCTGCGCAGGAGCGAGCAACTGGCAAAAAACAGAACAAGCCACACATACCCAAATGTACGAATAGTGTGCTCTGTACGAGCACGTGTGTGTGAATGTGTACATGTGTGCGTGCATGTGTGTGCACATGTGCGTGTGTGGTTCACACCTTTGCAGCAACGTCTGCTGCCACGTTCTTCGCCATCAGGTGCTGCTGCATCTGTTGTCGATAATGGTGACAACATTGACATGGCATGTGAACTAATGATACGAGAGATGTGTGGTTGAGCAAGAATAGTAGTAAGACGAGTGCAAAGCTTGCAGCGGCGTACAAACACACACACACACACGCGCGCGCGCGCGCGTCGAACCTGATCGAGGATGGGCTGGACGTTTTCCTTCGTCATCTCCGACGTGCCCGTGATCCTGCACACACACGCACGCACACACACACACATACACAAAGAGTGGTGAGAACCTGAACGAACAGAACCAACGTTGACACACACGCATGACACACGCAGACCCCAGCAACCAGCGCGCTCACTTCCTGAAGAGGGTAAAGAGGCTGCCTGTTGTTGTTGAGGCGGAGGCGTTGGCTGCGTTGCCGTCGTCATCGCCGTCCTCCTGCCCAAGCAGCTCCTCGTCGGCGTCAAAGCCAAAGTCGACGTCCTGCACGCCCTCCGCCATCCGCGCAGCCTGCCGCTTCTGCACCCGCAACACCAGAGGCGGAGGAGGAGGTGGTTGTGGGGGGGGGGAGGAGGTGGTTGTGGTGGTGATTAATCGTGGTGACTAGTGACGATTTTGGTGGTGGTGGTCACGTATTGGAAGCACAAGCGGGTTCGCAGAGGACTCAACACGCGTCCACACGCAGCCACGCACAACCATGCGAGCGAGATTGGAGCAGCAAGTGCAGGGAACTGACGGCCTCGGCGATGTCGTCGGCGCTGATGGCGTCTGCTGCCTCGGGCCGATCGTCGGGGTCGCAGTAGCTCAGCTGCGTGTGCTGGTGATGATGGAGAACAGGAGGCGAGGAACGTACGGCAGGGGGGAGGAGAGGCAGGGAGCGCACATGGATTGGATGGACGTTCGTTGAGGGAGGATGGGGTGAATGTGGTGTCGCTAATATTCGCGCGGGTGCAACCTCGTCAACGCACAACTCACGTGCACAGAACCTTGCAACACGCAGTCGCTCACGCACGCACACCACACCCCTCACCTTTGTTGGCTCGACGCGTGTGCTGACGCGGCTGCGGGGCGGCGGGTTGGCTGGTGACGACGACGATGATGATGATGGCTGCTGCGCCGCTGATCGCGGCTTCTTTCCACCGCCGGAGCGACGGCCCCGCACGCCTTTGTTCTGACAAGGAGAAGGCATGCATACGGAGGGAGGGGGGCGTTAGCGACATGAACATCACACAAACGGGATGCAGCCATGTAGCCACCAAAACCACGAAACGATGGTGCACAAACACACACGCGAACACACACACACACACACACACAAACACACACACACACACACACACACACGCAAACACACACGCACACACACACACACTCACACAAACACACACAAATACACGCACGCACACGCACACGAGCGGGCACCTTGAGTGCGAGTGCGCGGCGTCTGCGCTGTTCCTCTGCAGAAACGGCGGGACCATTGCCACTGCCGGTCTTGGTTGCGTCACCGCCTGTCGTCGTGTCCTCGTCCCCACCGCTGCTGCCGTCATCATCGTCGCCCTCGCCACTCGACAGCTCGTCCTCTCCGTGACTCCCGCCACGCGCCTGCTGCCGCTCCTTTCGCAGCTGCTCACGTGCTGTGCACGCACACGCACGCACACATACGCACACAAACACACACACACATACGCACACACACATGTGTCCGCGTGAGCAGTGATCAAACCATATCCACAGCACACATGTGACGTATCGTGTAACGCCAGAGTGCGGCAGTGCACACCTTTGCGTGTGAGGTTGGAGCCCTTGGCTGTGTGTGCAAAGCGCTCTGTCTCCTCAAACGTGCGCATCCCGCGCGACGTCTGGCAATGGCAGCGCGTGTTGGTGAACATGTATGAGTGGATGGGTGTGTTCGTGGATGTGCGTGTGCACGTGTGAAGGATGACAATACACAAGGGTGAGGACGAGACTACGGACTGCAACCAAGCAAGGGAGGTGTCAGCAACGGTGCTTATTGTTACCGGCCCCGTTGACCGCCGCCTCGTTGGTCTGTGCTTACCTCCTCGGCGTAGTCTTGCTGCGCCTTTCCCAATGCCTTTTGGAACACGTTGGTGTAATCAAGCCCCGTAATGGTGCCCTGCTGCAACTCGTCTGCACAGCGCGGGGGTCAGGGGGAATTGGTGCAACAATCACCAAGAAGGAGAGAGAGTGTGTGTGTGTGTGTGTGTGAGTGAGAGAGAGAGAGAGAGTGTGTGTGTGTGTGTGTGTGTGTGAGGGCAAACATAGTGGATGCATGGGTGAGTGGGAAGGCGCAGATGTGAAGGAAATGCTGGTGTGTGTACAAAGGGGGTTGTAGCCAGGATGCTGCTGCCGACTGGCAGCTGGCGGTGCATGCACACGAACATCACGAGACAGCGGTATCCCACCTTGAAATCGTGTGACAAAGTCCTTCTTGACGACGTTCAGTAGGTTGTCGATGTACCCGCTCTCACTCTCGACGGACTTGTTGTAAACCGCCTATGGCATGAATGAAGCACAGCACGCGAGACAATGCCACGTCACATTGGAGTGGCAAACAAAAAAGCAGGCAGAAGCGATGAACAGGCAACACAGGTGTAGTCACGCAGGGCGAGTGCACACATGCACACACAACCGCACATCAAGTGGACAGCCTCACAGCCCGAAATACAACAACACAAACAAGTGATCACGCACACACACACACGCGCACACGCACACACACACACACACACACACACACACACACACACACACACACACACACACACAAGCACACACGCGCGCGCATATGAGACCCACCGCAAAGACCAAGTTGTTGTTGGCGTCGATGCGGTACTTGATGTTGTAGTTCTGCACGGTGTAGGAATCAGCAGTGGCACCGCGGCCCTCCACCAGCACGTCCTGAATGAACCCGTTGATTGGGTCGCCACTCAAGAATCCCGGACCCTTGGGAGTCGTGTGTGTGTGTGTGCGTGGGAGTTAAAGGGTGACAACGCATGTGCATGCACGCCGTTGAAGCTGAATCAAACAGCCGAGCTAGCCAGCAAGAAACTTACACCGCCACACCTTCAAACACAGTTTGCTGCAGACACACACACACGCACACACGCACACACGCACGCACGCACACACGCACACACGCACACACGCACGCACACACGCACGCACGCACACACACACACACACACACACACACACACACACACACACACACACACACACACACACACGCGCGCGCGCGCGCGCGCTTGAGATGGTACCTGGAAGCACCAGAGCACCAGGCCTCCCTGAGTGAAGATGGTAAACAAATCCAGCATAGCTGCGACTCGCTGATGTGATGTCGTCGTATCTGTCACCTGGCTGGCTGTTGTTGTGGGTGAATGAGTGTGCGCGGCCAAGCAAGCAACAGTGTTGTGAATTAGCGGTGTGTGTGAAGGACGTGGCAGCGTCGTGGATATGGCGTGGTCGTCACGACAGCATAAACTGCAGCTTCACACAGCCAACAAACACGCCGCTGTTGTGTGCTTTGTTCCACCACGCATTGCTTGGGTGTCTGTGCCCCACGTCCTGTTGCCTCGCCTCCCATCTGTACACAGTAGGCAGCCAGCCGAGCATCAACAGGGCGACTGAGTACACACAGCTGCACTCGCTTCCTTCTTGTTCATCACTCGCCTTCTTGCTCGTGCCCACTTTTTTTTTTTTCCTTGTCGCCGCCTTGCCCTCTGTTCTCTCTCGTTGGCTTCTTGCTTGCTTGTGTGCTGTGTTTTCATTCCACGCTGCTGCTGTTGTTGTCGTCGTGTGGCACACACAACAACGTGGAAGCTTCCGATTCCATGGCCGCGTTGAAGCAGGCCGCAGCTGGACAGCTGCTCGCCTTTCGCCTCCCTGTGGTCGGCACTGTCCGCAGCTTGGCCAGAACCACAGCTGGAAGCCACGCACACTGCCGTGCATCCGCGCTTGCAACCAGCAGCACCAGCACCACCTGCACTGGTCCTGCGCACTTGCGCAGACACATTCAAGCACCCAGCGCTACGTCAGCTGGTATTGGCAACCCTTGGCAAGGAAGCAAGGCGTGTCCTGGCCACAGCGCCCGTCTACGACACTCACCGTTGCACCAGCTCCATCACCGAAACACACGGCACTTTCACAGTCACCATCGCCTGTCACAGCCACTGACGGCCCTGCCTCGTCACCACCACCGTCAACAGCACTTGCACCCGCATCATCACCAACAATACCACCACCACCACCACCAACCGCACCACAGACACCAGCAGCGCCACACCGACTGCCATCAGCGGCAAGTGCGCTGGTTCAATGCACAGCCCAACCAATTTGAGGCCCCATACGCAAACCTTACTCTGCGCATCAAGCAGACCGACCAAGGCAGTGCGGTGCCCGTGTCAGCGGCAGGTGCGGCTGCAGATGTCGCCGTTCCATCGTCGGGCCCTCAAGCGCCACCGCCGCCTCTGGCTGCCCCAAAGCCGCCAGACAAGCTCACGCCGGTCAAGGAGACAGTCGCGCGGCGTCCCGGCGAGCCTGTGGACCTTGTTGCACGCGTGTGCAATGTGATCCGACCCAAGCGCGCTCTTGGCGCCACCGTACTGGAACTGGACACGGAGCACGGGGTACGACGTGCTTGCTTATGTGCGCGTGTGCTGTATTTGTGTTGCGATCTTGTGCACGCCATGCACGATGGCACATGTGCATTGCCTGTGATGCCTGTATATATCGGTGTACGCCCCACATCCCACACACACACACACACACGCACACACACAGACACACACACACACACTCACTCACTCCCTCCCTCCTCCCTCACTCACTCACTCACACACACACACATACACACACACACACACACACACACACAAACACATTCTCATTCACACTCTCTCTCCCTCCCTCATACACATACGCACGTGCGCCCTTGCTTCCCCCCCCCCGCGTGCCCACGGAGCAGAAGGTTGACTGCCACGCCGTGTCGCCGCCCATCTACCTGTCGGAGGCCATCCGCGTGCGCGGGTCGTGGCAGATCAGCGAGGACGGCACAAAGTGGTGCGTGCACGTCGGCGACAAGTTTGGCGGGGAGTTCAGCACAAAGGAATGGAAGGACGCTGCGCGCGATCAGAATCATCTTCTACTCGAAGAACTTGATCGGTCCATCGGAGACCCGTACAAGTTCCTCCTCCACTTCAAGGTCCCTTTGCTTGTTGTGTGCGTGTGTGTGTCTGCGTCTGCGTGCCTGTGAGAGCGTCCCGGTGCTTTGCTTGACAGCACCATTCTTCTTCGCGCTCAACCACCACCATTCACCACCATTCACCACCATTCACCACCATTCACCACCACTGCCATCAGGGGGTGAAGCATCGTCGTGCACTGCGTATTGTGGAGGCAGCACAGAAGGCGAATGTGTCTGTGTTTGAGCTCATTGAGAGCGGTGGTCTGCAGTCCATTCCATACGTCAGGGAGGTGCGTGCAACCCTGCACATGACGCCACTATCTCGTGGGTTGATGGGCGCATTTCGCGTTCCTACATCGCCCACAGCACCCTTTGAACCACACACACACACACACACACACACACACACACACACACACACACACACACACACACACACACACACACACACACTCACTCACTCACTCACTCACTCACTCACTCACTCACTCACTCACTCACTCACTCACCCTATCGCGGTGTGTGCAGCTGGGCATTGAGGAGAAATGGATGCGCGTCAAAACGCTTCGCTCCCTTGTGGTTCGTTTGTCTGTCTGACCATCACTATGCGTGTGTGGCTGCATAGTTTTGTGCGTTCGTTTGAGCTTGTCACGCTACATCTCGCCCTGTGCCACGTCCACCACAACACATCGTTACATCAACTCACATCACAATCCATCACAATCCATCATCACACCACACCACACGATGGTCGCTACACACAGCGGCTGATGCTGCTGGCGTGTGCGGGTCTTGGTGTCGAGGAGTACTACATCTTGCTCTGCTCGCAAGAGCTGTACGAAAAGTTTGGGAAAGATGCAAAGGCCGTCCTCCTGCGAAACCCATACTGGTACCGCCTCTTGTGTGTGTGTGTGTGTGTGTGTGTGTGTGTGTGTGTGTGTGTGTGTGTGTGTGTGTGTGTCTGTCTGTCTGTGTCTGTCTGTCTGTCTGTTTGCCAGTCGATCTACCTGTCTGTGTGTCTGTGTGTACGTTTAAATATGCGCGCCAAGCGTTTTCGGTTTCCTAACGCTCTCCAAACGCCATCCCCCCCCCCCACACACACAATCACATACACCACCACCACACACACATACACCACCACCACCACCAGCGTGCTTGCGCTGGACAACTATCTGCCCATGGTGGCTGTGCAGCGGCTGGCGACGATGAACCGCGACACGCCCCCTTCGCTTGATGACATCATGGAGGGGCATTGCCTCAGTGCCCTGCGCCACGACGAGCTTGCAGGCAAATCCTCCCTCACGCTCAGCCAGCTCACCTCCTACGTCATGAAGTGAGCCATGCGTGATTGTACGTGTGCGCAGGTGATTGCGTGTGTGTGCAGGTGATTGTGTGTGTGTGTGTGTGTGGTGTGTGTGTGTGTGTGTGGTGTGCGTGTGTGTGTGCAAGGCCGGTGATGAATGCGGCATGGTTGTTCCCCCCTCCCCTTCATGTCTTTCGTATGTCATTGCGTCGGCGCATCTCACACCGCACTCACTGCACACCGTACGCTCCCTGTTTCCACTGCAGGCGTCTTGATGGCCAGGAGGGCGTGACGAAAGAGGCAATCCACCGCATCATCAACAACAGCGCCGAGCTCATCGTCTCGCACACCAGCAGCGACAGCGGTCGTGGCCACACGGGTGCAAATGGCGCCACTGACACCAACTTCCACGTCAGTGCTGCTGACACAACGACAGATGGCAACTACGGCAGTGCCGAAGCGGGGGCGCATGAGCACAACGCAAGCGGCGCTCACGTGGGTGCTGCTGCGGATGATGCTATCGGTGACGACCCGTTTGCTGCTGACGATGATCTCGATGCGTTTGGTCTCGACGAGCACTTCCACGACGACATGGATGACCAGGACATCAGTGACAGCAGCAGCATCGGCAATCGTGGTGACGATATGTTGCTTCTCGATGCTCCACAGCCGTCAACCGTTCAGCGCACGCGACTCAACAAGATGCTCACCTTTGTCTCCTCCGACTTGAAGAAGCGTGCAAGCCTCTCACCGCCGTGGGATGTCAATGACGTATGTGGTTCTGCATTTGTCTCGCATGTGCACTCATGTCTCTGCTGTGCACACGCGTGTGTTCGCTTGCTGTGTTCTGAGCGCAATGATGACTTACGTTTCCGGTGCCATTCAAGCCCGTCATCCACCACCTCTCTCACCCATTGTTGCAACCTCACTCACCAACACACACACACACCAACACACCAACACACACACACACACACACACCCCTTTTCCGTCCACAGCTGCGGCTAGAGGGGCACCCTGCCATCTATCTGCTGTCGCCATCGCAGCAGAACGCCGTCAAATCTCTTCTCCGCTGCAATGTTGGCATTCTTACCGGTTTCCCCGGCACAGGCAAGACCACGCTCATCGCCGGCCTCGTCAGCGCCCTCGAGTGAGTCCATACGCCCAGCGCTTCTGTGTGTGTGTGTGTGTGTTTGCGTTTGCGTGTCGTCTGGTTGCTGCGTAAGTCAAACATCCACACCGCTGACCCTTAACCCTTCACACACACGTCCAGGGCGGCGAACAAGACGGTGCGCCTTGTTGCACCGACGGGTCGTGCTGCCACTCGCATCACCTCCGCCCTCATGCGCAGCTCAGAGAAGGCAACCACTATCCACTCCTTTGCCCGCCTCGGTGTGTCCCTGTTGCACTGACAAAGCTCTTGGGCGACCGCATTGCTCACTCGCACACACAAGCAGAGCACAACAAGGCATGCGTCGGCGCGCACATGGACACACAAACACACATGCGTATGTAATTACAATTGACATGAGAGCACACATGCCCATCCACACTCACACACAACACATGCGACACGTGCATGTGCACTTGCAGGCATGTACTGGGACGTTGAGCCACCGGCATCACTGAAACCGAAAGTGGATGACGTCGACGCCCTCATTGTTGATGAAGCGTCGATGCTCAGCGTGGAAATGGCATACCCGCTCCTCAAGTCAGTGGTTGCGCTGTGCTGTGAGGATGGCGTGCACTGTGTTATGGCGTGTGCGGTTCACTGTGGACGTGGCTGGTGTCTGCGCTTGGTTCACTGCTGCTGCCGTAGCTGTCATCGTGCCTAACCCCCACCCTCCTCACTGAGACGTGCTGGTTTCATTGTGTGTCAATGTGAATGCGAAAGGTGCCTGTCCCCGCGAACGGCCATCTACTTCATCGGTGATCCAGACCAGCTCCCGCCGGTATCCGCCAGCATATGCAACACCCACTTGCAACGCCCACTTGCCCATACCCATACCTCCATTGCTTGCACGTAATGCTCCCCCTTCTCTTCCTTCTCAACTCCACACACGCACAGGCTCACATACACTCACACACATACACACGCACACATACACACCATGCAGATTGGGGCGTGCGGCATCTTCAATGTTGCGCAAACGCTCGACATTTCGCCTGTCAGGCTCACAGAGGTTCACAGGCAGCAAGCAAACAATTCGCGCATCCAGACTGTTTCGCGCGAGATTGCGAGCGGACGCGTGGAGATTGACGTCCTTGATCGCCTCCCGTCCGACCACACAGACTTTGCCTTCCTCTTCTGTAACGTGAGTGAGCGTGAGTGCGTTTGCATGTGTACCAATGTGGTATGGGGAGTGTGTGTGTGTGTGTGTGTGTGCTTGCGCATGTACGTTTGAGTGTTTCTTCGTTCTGCTCACCCCCAACTTTGCTTTCCAATGTCCATCGTGCCTATATTCACCTCAACCTTGTTTATGACAGGATAAAGACATTCCAACTCGCGTCGTTGAACTTGTCACGCAAGAGGTGTGCAGCAGAAGCATGCGTTGCTTGGCACACACACATATACATACACACACACGCATACACACGCACATACATACACACTCTTGTACAAACATACATATGTGGCACCATGACACTGCTGTGCCCACTCATCAACGTTCCCTGTGCACGTGTGTGTGTGCACGTGTGTGTGTGTGTGTGTGTGTGTGTGTGTGTGTGTGTGTGTGTGTGTGTGTTGAAACAGATTCCTGACCAGTTTGGGTTTGATCCTCTGAAAGACATTCAGGTGCGAGACAACCACGCCCCCCCCCCGCACCCTCCCCTATTCTGTCTCATTTCGTCATGACGCCATTGCATGTGACGGTGCATTAACGCTTCTTCTTCCCATGCCAGCACACGTTGCGTCGTCGCCACAACCCATGCTGATCGTTCACCACCCCCTTACCGTTCAACATCCTCGCCCTCGGCCCACATCCCTGCTGTTTTGCTCCACCGTGCGTTGTCTCCACTCAACCAGGTGCTGACGCCGCTTCGCCAGCGCGGGCTTGCAAGCTCCCGTCAGCTCAACACGATGTTGCAGGGGGCATTTGTGGACATGGCCGAGGACAAGGACCAGCGCACCATCAACAGACACGGCTTTCGCCTCTCAGACAAGGTGTGTGTGTGTGTGTGTGTGTGTGTGTGTGTGTGTGTGTGTGTGTGTGTGTGTGTGTGTGTGTGTGTGTTTGGGATTGCCTTTTGCGCATGTGTGCCTGCTGCCCTTACATTAGCGGGACTTTCGTGTTCTGCCGATCGCGCTCTCCCACCTCAAATCCCTTGTCATCTCAAAATCAACCCGCGGGTGCAGGTGATTCAAACGGTGAACAATAGGGAGAAGGACGTGTACAACGGCGAAATGGGCCAAGTCGTCTCCATTCCCAACAAGGTGGGCCACATGTGTGTCACAGTTTCCACACGCTGCCACCGTGCGACCACCACCCCACGAGTTTCCACAGTTACCACAGTTTCCACACAACACACACGCTGCTGGGCCGTTCGTCACCGCGACACACTCACCACCACCGCTGCTGCCACCACCATGATGACGCTGGTGATGACAGCGGCACCACGTGCTGGATGTTCAGTTCGATCGCGGACAAACATCAAACCTGCACGAGGGCGATGTGATTGTTGGGTACAGCCCATTTGATCTTGATACGCTTGCACTCGGATATGCCATCACCATCCACAAGGCACAGGTTGGGTGCTTGCGTGTCTCTGATTGGCATTGATCCAACCTACCTTGTTCCTGCACGCGTGCAAGCACGCGCATCTGAACGCACATTTCCACTTGCTTACGTACACACACACACACACTCACTCACTCACTCACTCACTCCCACACACACACACACACACACACACACACACACTCACTCACTCACTCACTCACTCACTCCCACACACACACACACACTCTCTCTCTCTCTCACTCCCACACACACACACACACACACACACACACACACACACTCACTCACTCACACACACACACACACACACACACACACACACACACACACACACTCACTCACACACACACACACACACACACACACACACACACACACACACACCTCCCTCTGGGCAGGGGTCTGAGTTCCCGGCTGTTGTGATTCCGCTGACGATGGAGCACGCCTCGTTCCTGAACCGCAATCTCCTCTACACGGGCGTCACCCGCGCACGCCGGCTCGTCATCTGTGTTGGGCAGCATGCGGCCTGGCGACACGCCATCAACACCACACATGCGCTCGCACCCCACCTCGCCCGTTGACCCGCTTTCATGATCACCGCTTGTGTTTTGTGTGTTCTTTCTGCTTCGCTCATGCATGTCCATAAACGCTTGTTGCTGTTCTGCGTTCCCTTGCTTGCTGTTGTTGTACTCGAGAACACAGCGGCTTGTTCATTGACAACGATGCCACCCACGTGCTTTGTTGTTGTTGTTGCTGTTGTTGTGGCACACCATCGCTGTGTGTGTGTGTGTGTGTGTGTGTGTGTGTGTGTGTGTGTGTGTGTGTGTGTGTGTGTGTGTGTGTGTGTGTGTGTGTGTGTGTGAACCCATAGCTGTTGCCGGCTGGCTGGTGGTATCTATTTTGTGTTTTTTAATTGGACGTTGTGGAAATAGAGATTGTTTGACTGGTTCAAACCACTACATGCAGCAAGAGAACAAACGACCACAGCGGCAAAGTGGCAGTGACACCAACAGCGCGGCGTATCACGGGTGCTGGACAGCAAGTGATGCAGATTTAGGGTTGGGGGGGGGAGGAGGCAGGGCAGCTCAAGGATGAGAAGCTGAAGGAACACTGCACATGCAAATGGAATCAAGAAACGCCTAAACGTGCAGTGTTCTTCGCCGCATCCACAGAACTGGCACCAACCACCAAGGTGGAAGCGCCCAGGCAAAGGCGTCCAACACACGCAGTGACTCTACATGCGCTGTCTACAACAACGCGACCACAGGCGAATGAAACAGCGAAAAATGTAACATAAAACACACGAAGAACCACTTGACCACGGAGTACCTCGCGAGCACGCACACACATGCACACTAAGGATGATAATGACACGCAACAATGAGGTGTGCAAGGTAAGGAGAGAGCGATGCAAAGTAAGCAAGCAAGGGGAAAAAAACTAAGCCCGATGCATTAGGAGGAAGGAAACAAAACAAAACAACTCAAAGTGCCCAGACTGCAACCAAAGAAGAACAAAGAAGGGGTGCGGTAAGGCATAACACGGGAATCGGCAGGAGAAAACCAAAACGAAGCGAACATTCGAGCTGTGCAAGCGTTGCAGGCACACAGCGTCTGCCGGAAGTGGGATGGCCAACAGCGCCAGCAGCAGATGGGGTAACAACTGCGACAGACAGGGTCACGGTGGCAGCAAAGGGGGCACACACGTTTCGTGCAACAGCTGCAGTTGCCACAGACCGGCTGGAAATAGGTAATGTAAGGAAGGAAGCGCGTTCGTGTAACAGGGAAGCTTGGGCATGAGCGGTAAGGAAGCGAGGGCAGAGGTTAAATGCGGCGACATAAAGGGGTGCAGCGGGCGCACGCAAGGAGCAGCTATGCCGGTGGGCAGCGAGAACACGAAGAAAGCGCACACGACTGCTCGGGGATGCACAGACGGGAACGCGGAACGAAAAGAGACAACTAACGTGGTCGTGTGATCGTGCGTGCATATGTGCATGCGAAAACGGAGTGGTGTGTTAATTAGCAGCAGTCGAAGTAGTAGTAGCAGTATCAGTAGTAGCAGTAGTGGCACAGTAGTCGCGGTCGAAATAGTAGACAGTCAACACCGCGGTAAACATCAAAGACAAAGAGTAACAACAGCAACAAACAATAAAAACAACAACAGGCGATGGCGGCTGTCACCACCACATGATAACGACACAAAGAGGAAGGGAGACACGCACGCACGCACACACAGAAACAGAGAGTACAATGAGAGAAGAGTACCATACACGAGCACAGCCGGAAGCGGTCAGAAGCTCATGCCCGAGGGCGCAAAGCCGTGGTAGGAGCCAGCGTGGTAGCTGGAGGGGGTGGACGGCGTAGTGTCCTGGTACTGTGCGTCTGTCTGGGGCAGGTCGCTCAGGAGCTCGTTGATGTTGTCAATCTTGACGTCGTTCATGTTGATAAAGGCAACGTCCTCCGCCTGCAGCACAGGCAGCGGCTTTGCGTCCATGAGCAGCGACGCAATGCGCGGGATGTAGGGCGCGCTCTCGTGCGAATGCCGACGTGGGCGCACCTCACCCTCCTGCTCTCCGTACTCGTGGTGCTGTTGCTGGTGCTGCTGTTGCTGCTGGTGCTGGTGCTGGTGGTATGATGATGACGACGAAGATGATGGAGGATGGCTTGCCTGGCTGTACTGCTGCAGTTGGTGTTGGAATTGCTGCTGATGTTGCTGCTGGTGGTGGTGCTGCTGGAGGTGGTGGTGCTGGTGGCCTGCCTGCATGGCTGCGAGCTGCTGTTGCCGCTGCTGCTGGCGGCGTTTACGGTACTGCTGCAACTGCGCCGCCCCAGCAGACAGGCTTCGGCCAAACACACTCCGGCCGGGACCTGCGCGACCCGTCGCCCCGCTCATGGACAATGGCTGCACACCAGTGCCGTCGTCGCCACCGTGCGTTGCCGCTGCGTTTGCTTCCTGGTGCTGGTGCTGGTGCTGCTGTTGTTGTTGTTGTTGCTGCATCAACATCTGCTGCTGCTGCTGCTGCTGCTTCATGCTCTTTGAGCGCGGGCGGGCCTCAAGCGACAGCGACCTGCGGATACGGTCCAGGATCAGGTTTGGCTGCGAGTTTCGCCGCCGCTCGAGGGAAGCGCGCTTCTGCTGCCCCGCCGCCTCTGTTGTTGTTGTTGCTGTTGCTGACGGCGCTGGTGGCGGCGGTGCCGTGGCCTGCTGCTGCCGTGTATGTGTTTGCGGGAGAATGGCGGAGCTGCTGCGAGCGCGCGTCATGCCGTGCTGCTGTTGGTGCTGGTGGTGGTGATGGCTTGATGTTGCCCATGGGTTTGGAGAGGAGCCTGAGGACGGCTGGTGAAACACGTCGCCCTGTGCGTCGAGGTCTGCAGGCTGGTGCTGCTGGTGGTGCTGGAAGACCTGCACCGAGGAGAGGGCGACTGTGCCAGACAAGGAGTTGGTGGAGGAGGAGGAGGACAGGGTGCCCTGCATGCCATCTGCCGTGAGCGGTGAGGGCGGTTCGTGCTGCTGGTGCTGGTGGTGGTGGTGGTGCTGTTGGTTGTTGAGAGAGGCGGCCATGGTTGAGTTGACCCACGAGGCGATGGTGTGCTGGTCAACAACACCGCTGCCACCGCCACTGCTGCTGCTGACGGTGCTGAACACATCCACGGCGGCAAAGGGGTCTGCACGGCTGTTTCCTGCGCTGTGGGGGCCTGGCGAAGGACCAAAGGGGTCGTCTGTGTATGCGTCGTAGGCGGAAGGGGATGCGCGGTCAAGGTGCAGCATCTGGCACTGCAGGCGCAGGCTGACGTCGTCCTCCCCAGCATGCAGGTCGGCCATGGACCCCGTGTCGCTGCACTCGCTGTCGCGGTCCGCAAACGGCCAGAGGAGCGTGTCGTACGAGTTGGTTGAGATCTCCGACGCATCAGAGTCGATGCTGAATGTGCGCATGCGGCGCGGCGCTGCGTGCCGGAGCGACGATGGCAGGCCGCCGCCATTGCCATTGCCTGCGCGGTTGCTCTCGTGTGGCGGGGATGCGCCTGGCGTGGCATTCGACGAGTCGATGCCGCTGTCGCCGCGGGGTGCTGCGGGCACACCAGGGGTGGCGGGGGTGGCGGGCGCCGTTGCCGTTGCCGTTGGGGCAGTGGACGCCGTGAAGGACTTTGAGCGGCCCTTGGTGCTCGACTTGCGGCTTCGGCTCCTGTGCCAACAGGAACGTTGAAGCGGGGGGGGGGGGCGAGGCAGAGGGGGATGAAGGTGCCAAAGGTTGGCAGACAAAAAGCGAAAAGGTGTGAGTGGATTGCGACACAATACGTTTAGCGACGCCAACACGTTCACTGCCTCCCCAAGGTGCCGTGATGCAGTGCGCGCAGCACGATGGCTCGATGCACAGAGACGGAACAGAGAGGGTGGGTGTGCGTGTTGCTGTGCGTGTTGCTGTTTGTGGCTGTGCGAGTGCGCAACACACGATGGCCATAAACGCTAGCTAACAAGCACAAACACAAATACAAACAAGTGCATAAACAAATACAAACAAGTGCATAAACACAAATACAAACAAGTGCAAACACACACGCAAATACAAACACAAACCACAACACACACAAATACAAATACAAACCAAACACGTGCAAAAAAAAACACACACACACACACACCTTGATCTGCTCTTTGAGCTTGACTTTGATTTGGAAGGAGGGGCAGGGGAGTTGAGGTCCACACCGTGCGCTGCGACAACGGCGTCAAGGCAGTCCTCTGCCCTGTACCCTGGGTTCTCCCTGCGCATGCGATGGAAGAAGTTGAGGTACTCTGTTGCTGTCTTTGGCAGGCCTTCCTCGGCCACCGTCCACCACGCGCTGAGCAGCTTTCCCGCGTCATTGCGGCGAGGCACCTTGACAAAGCACTTGCGAAGGCTCAGGTTGTGGCGGACGGAATTGCGCCAGTTGTCGTTGGCGGCGGGCACGAGCCGGCGGTACTTGCCAACAAAGCTGTACACGTCGTCCAAGACGAGGCGCTTCTCCGGCGCGCCCGCAATGGCCACGGCAATCAGGGCAGCGTAGGTTGGCGTGGGAAGCGGCATGACGGCGACTCGCTTCGACTGCTGATTATGCTCTCACACGCACACACACACGCGCGCGCGCTTGTCAGGGATGCGCGTTCGCTGCTGCTGCTGCTGCTGCTGCTGCTGCTGCTGCTGCTGCTGTGGAGAGGGGCTAGTGGTGTGCTGGTGGGGCTGGTGGTGGAGCGAGAAGGCGATGCGGATGCCGTGGGCGAAGGAGGAGGACGATGTATGTAGAATTATTGCAAGTCAAGTGCAGACCGTGTCACATCAACCTGATGATGATGATGATGATGAAGATGGGATCAACAGCAAGGTTGTTGGTTGGTGAGCGGAGCAGGTGGGTGTTTGTGTTTGTGTTTTTGCTTGAATGTGTGTGTGGATGGGTGGGGTGCATACTTTGTGTGTGGCGCGCTTGTTTGGGTGGATGTGTGTGTGTGTGTGAGTGTGTGTGTGTGTGTGTATGTGTGTGTGTGTGTGTGTGTGTGTGTGTGTGTGTGTGTGTGTGTGTGGTCATCGCCACGCAAACATGCCGTGACATCACAATGGCACAGCAGCCCCCAGCAAGCAGCATCATCGGCATCGCAGTCAAATCCAACCCCACAACCACACACGCACACACATCAATGCCACAGATCACCATCATCCGCCCCCTTGCTTCCGGGAAATGGATTGAAATTTCGTGCCAGGGTCTTCTGGCCACTTTGCGAGTGCTGGCTCGTAGCCCGCTTGCATGCTCACCTTTGCTCGCTGTCGTCAGAGAGGTTGTCGCTTCACTGGCTGCGTGCGTGGCTCTGCCGCGCGCTGGACGAAGGAGAGGAGAAGAAGCAAGCACAAGGAAATGGCCTCTCCTTCTTGTTCCGCCTGGCTGGAGCGACGCCACACACTGCGTGCTTTTATTGGTGTGGCTTGACAAAAAGGAGGAACAAGAAGGTCCCGTGCGTGCGTGCTTGCGAGCAACCACAAGCGAAGGAAGTGGTCAGCTGTGTAGGTTGGGCAGAGAGCGAGGAAAGGAAGAGCGAAGAATCGTGACTCGCCGCACAGCACAGCCACGAGAATAAAAAAAAGAATTCGTGTCCCGCTTTGTGTCAAGGCAGCCTAATGCGCCCTTGAGTGTGGTGGATAGCTGATGCAAGTATATAACTTGCACGCCATAAATCGCCAACCAAGCAAAAGGCACAAGAAGCACCACGAAGACAAGAAGGTGTGTGTGTGTGTGTGTGATGAGGAGGGGGAGGGAAACAGGCGTGCATGCTGTGTCTGGTGGAGCAAGGAGTGGGGTGGATGGATGGATGGATGGATGGATGGATGGATGGAAACTGTCAGTCCCTCACCCACCACCAACACACACACAAACACAAACACACAAACACAAACACACACACGCACACACACTGCAGTCGCACCTAGCGTTAGGAACTGGAAAGCCTTCCCTTTTGGGTTTTGTTTGGGTTTGCCGCTGCACAGTTGTGTCTTTTGGTTCCCATCGCGCGCACACACACACAGCCACACACAGGCGCACACACGTACAACGTCCACCATGAGCGAGTCCTACGGTATGTGTGTGTGTGTGTTTGTGTTGTGAAGCTGATGTGCTGTAGTCGTAAGCTGCGTGCTGTCGTCGTAAGCGCTTGCCGAATGGGTCAATCGTCGTCGTCATCACCCACCACCATGAACGGTTCTTGTGCGGTGTGCCTCAAACCAACCCCCCCCCCCTTCGCGTCACATGTGTTGTGTTGGTTCGGGCAGACTTTCTGTTCAAGTTCTTGGTGATTGGCAACGCCAACACTGGCAAGTCGTGCATCCTGCACCAGTTCATCGAAAACAAATGTACGTCGCCTAATGAAGCAGACGCGGCTGCGTTTGCGTGTGCGTGTGTGGATGTTTGTGCGTGTATGTGTGTGTGTATGTGTGTATGTGTGTGTGTGTGTGCGCGCGCGCGCGGTTGCGTCGCGGAGAGTGTGTGAGGTTTTGACTGCGAGTGACCCGTACGTTTATGCGACGGCGTGATGCTTCATGCTGTTTTTGTTGCACAGGACATCCAATACTCACCCCAACGCACATCACACCAACGCACATCACATCAACGCACATCACACCACACCATACCCAGTCAAGTCCGATTCCACACACACCATTGGCGTCGAGTTTGGATCCAAAGTCATCAACTGCGGTGGCAAGTCTGTCAAGCTGCAAGTGTGGGACACAGCCGGTCAGGAGCGGTTCAGGTGAGCGCGGAAAAGGGCAGTGTGGGTGTGTGTGGGTGTGGGTGTTGGGAAGGGGGTTCTTTGTTTGATTGTTTTTTGTGAGGGGGTGTGTCCGTCTGTCTGCCTGCGTGTGTTTGCTTGTGCCCGTGTGTCTGCTGCTGTCTCTACCGCACCAACGCCACCGCTGCTGCTGTGGCTGTCACTGTCACGACGCGTAACCCCTTGAAACTCTATCGTGTGTTTGTGATGCACGCTGCATCCAGGTCGGTCACGCGCAGCTACTACAGAGGCGCGGCCGGCGCGTTGCTCGTCTACGACATTTCAAAGTGAGCCAGAGACAACCAGCGTGTGTGTGGGAGGGGCGTGTGTGTGTGTCTGCCTGTCTGTGTGTGTCTGCCTGTCTGTGTGTCTGTGTGTGTTTGTCTGTCTGTCTGTCTGTCCACATGCCATTCTTCCTTCACATACTCACATACTCTCACTCCACTCACCCGCGCGTGCACCTTTGCTGCACATGCTCGTGCACACGACAGCCGTGAGAGCTTCAACGCGCTGACAAACTGGCTCACAGACGCCCGCACCCTTGCCAGCCCAGACATTGTCATTGTCCTCGTCGGCAACAAGAAGGACCTCGAGGTGCGTATGCTATTGTGTGTGTGTGTGTGTGTGTGTGGTGTGTGTGTGTGTGTGTGTGTGTGTGTGTGTGTGTGTGTGTGTGTGTGTGTGTGTGTGTGTGTGTGTGTGTGTGTGTGGCTGGCTGGCTGGCTGGCTGGCTGCGTGATGACAAATACGTAAAAGACCGAATGCCGTGCTTTGACTCATTGGCTTCCACCCAATGTGTGTGTGTGTGTCTCATTATGGTGCACACAGGCTGATCGTGAGGTGACATTCTTGGAGGCGTCCCGATTCGCACAGGAGAACGGTGAGTGCGTGCGTGTGATGTGTGATGGGTGTGTGTGCGTGTGTGATGGGTGTGTGTGATGTGTTTACGCGTGTAGCATGCCCATGTGAAGAGTGAGGGACATTCCCTTGTGGTTCTCGGCGCTCATCCGCGTGCGTGTGTGGACATCCATTTCATGACGGCTGTTTGCTTTGCTGCAGAGCTGATGTTCCTCGAGACGAGTGCACGCACAGGCGAGAACGTGGAGGAGGTCTTCCTCAAGTGCGCTCGCTCCATTCTCTCCAAGATCGAGACAGGTGCGTGCCCATGCTGCCTTTGCATCCACAACGCTGGGGTTGGAGAAAGGGGGCGCACACTCGCCCTGGCTTGCTTGCTTGTCCACGGATGCGCATAGTTGAGGCGGGTGGCTGGTATGCTGATGTGGGCATTGTGGTCTTATTCATGTGGACGCTGTGGCCTTTTGTGCGTATTGTGGTCTCCCTCACCCATGTAAACCCGCACGCACACACACACACACACACGCACACCACCACCGCCGCCATCCCACGACGACCAGGTCAACTTGACCCGGAGAAGATTGGGTCTGGTATCCAGTATGGTGACGCGTCGCTGCGCAAGACAAAGAAAACGCCGGGCCAGAAGGAGCCGTGCGCATGCTGAACTCCAGGCACATGCGCACAACGTGCTTCATACAACTCTCTCTCTCTCTCTCTCTCTCTCTCTCTCTCTCTCTCTCTCTCTCTCTCTCTCTCCTTCTCCCTTCGCTCTATGCCATCCTTGTTCTCTCTGCAATCCTCTTCCCCCCCCCCCCCGTTTTCCTCTGCTGCTCTCCTCTCTGCATGTCTTGCTTGGGTTAATTTGTTTTGCTGCTGACGTTGGTACAGATGATGCTTTTGGCAGCTGTCCATGCCTGGATTTACCACTCCCCCCCCCCTCCGCCTTCGTTTTTGCTCTCCTATCCATCCTAGTTGCAACAACATCGCCGACCACCACCACTACTGCTACAACTACACCGCCCCGCCTCTCTCTCTCTGTCTCTTCCCAACTATGACCTCAGTTGTGCCATCATCACCTGCGTTTGCTTCGCCAGTTGTGTGTACCGTGTTGGTGATTGGATGATATTGGCGCCCTTTGCGTTGCAGTTGCCGTTGTGCTTTGTCGTTGGTTGCATCTCGCTTTCCTTCCCTTGCAACACCCCTGTCTGTGTGTGTGTGTGTGTGTGTGTGTGTGTTGGCATTGCTGTGTCACAGTTGCTGTCGTTATTTCTCAGCCAGTGGCCATATCGCAATGCTGCTGGTGTCGTGTATTGTCGTGGTGGGGCCGTGTTGCTGAGGGATTTCTCGTAGTTGAGCGCGTGGTGCTTGCTCTCATCTCAATACATGCCAATAGATGAAGCAAATGGTGTGTGTGTGTGTGTGTGTGTGTGTGTGCTTCGCGTGTTGAATGCGGGTTTGGTTGTGACGCTGGTTCATTCGAGATGTTGGTCGTGCAAGGAACAAAGCACGTGCTGTGTTGTGTTTGCGTTTTGTCTGGCTGTGTACAAGAAAAAAGAGGAGAGCAAGAGAGGCACTGAAGGGTGTGTGTGTGTGTGTGTGTGTGTGTGTGTGTGTGGGTGGGTGTGTGGGTGGGTGTGTGGGTGTGTAATCGGTTAGTCGAACGTTGCAATGTCTTCGCCGGCTGCTTCGTCCGCATCGTCGTCCTCTTCCTCTTCTGCCTTGAAGTGCTGTGAGTTCTTGAACTCCGCAAACAGGCTGAACAGTAGGTGAAGGCTTTCGATTCGGCTCTTGTGCACGGGAATGTCAAGCAGCGCTGTGCGGGTTGTGGTTGGTTCGTGTACACATGTGTGCGCGTGTTGGGGGAAACGTGAGCGGTGCAAAGCGGGGCACCCCAAGCAACATGCACTTCCTCTCACACACAGCAACACAACTACACACAACACTGCAACTCACAACACAACACACAAAACAACACAACACAAAAAAACCAACACACACACACACACACAAAACAACACATACACACACACAAAGTACATACACACACACAGCTATCACCTCAACCATCTCATCCTTCCCTCGCCACCCGGGCGCCCTCACCGCATGCAATGTCTGTCATCTCCTGGAGAGAGACGTTGAGGTCGCCGGACGGCAGCTGCACCTTGTCCAACAATGCCTCCATCTGTGGTGGCCACTCCTGCATCAGCGACTCGAGATCAGGCATCGCACCCGTGTAGTGCACCGTCTGCGGTTGCTTGTCCCTGTGCACCTCTGCAATGCTCGTCACCCACGTGTCAATTGCCTGCAAGCAAGCCGGCGTTTTGGCAGGTGGTATTGTGGTGTCGTGTGAGAGGAGAGAGAGAGAGAGAGAGAGAGAGAGTGTGTGTGTGTGTGTGTGTGTGTGTGTGTGTGTGTGTGTGTGTGTGTGTGTGTGTGTGTGTGTGTGCCCGTTGAAGTGCGGGTGTGCATTGAGGTCTATTGTGACAGCCCGAGCGATGGCCAGCCTATCACACCTTTGTGTCCTGTTCTGCGTCCTTGATTTGGTTCAACTTCGTCGGCTTGCTGCTTGTTGTCTTCGCAATCGTTCGCAGGTGCAGATCCAACACCGTCGCGTCTGCGCAACACCACACACACACACACACACACACACACACACACACACACACACAAGCCCACAGTAATTGTGAGTGCGAGTGAGTGAAACAGCGAGGGCGCGCATATGTGTCTATCTGTCTGCCTGTCCGTGTGTGTGTGTGTCTGTCTGTGCCTGTGTGTGTCTGTGTGTGTGCCTGTTTGTGTGTGTGTGTGCCTGTTTGTGTGTGCATGACTGTACCTGACTGTGCGGCGCACGGCTCGTCGAGAACAACGAGACCAAGGCCTTGGTCGACGCCATCGGGCCGCGGTATCTGAAAGAGAGGGGTGGAGTGGTGTTGTCATGGATGGTGATTGGTGATTGTGGTTGGTGTGGTTGGTGTGATTGTGGTTATGATGAAAGTGGTGCAGCGTGACCTGTTCGCGTCATCGCAGTAAAAGAAACAACACACCACAGCAGGGCGCCCGAACAGCCATGCACACAACACGCTCGAGCACAGCAAGCAATCCACCACATGCAGCACCTTGAGGAAAGCGTCAATATCGCCGACAGCGGGGATGTACTCTGGAATGAACGGCTTCAGCTTCGTCTCCAACTCAAGCACCTCGGGCTCAAAGCTATGCGCACACACACACACATGCACGCACACGCACACACACATGCACACACACACACGCACACGTTCATAACCGCGTGAGTATGTGAACGTTTGGTGATGCAACGCCTGTCGGTGGTTGTAAAGCTTTCAGCAAACAAGAGAGCCATAAGGCATCAACCAACGACCGCAATCGACAGTGCCAGCAGACCTGGTGATGTGTTCAAAGAGGTCTTGGATCTCATCGCCGACGTTCAGGGACGAGTACTCGGTGGGGTCATACGCCCCCTCAAGCTTTGGGGCTGCCATGATTTTGGCCATACGACAGCGGGTGGCAGTTAGCAAAGACGTGAGAAAGAGGAGAGGCATGTGCGCATATTGCAGGGAAATGTATCACGTGGCGCGACGTGGGTGAGAACGCATTATACACACCTGTGGATAAACAGACCAAAACACACGAGCGCACAACTTCTCGCACACACACACACACACACGCGCGCGCACACACACACACACACACACGCATTTGAAGCGCTACGCGGCACCGCATGCATAGCCGCGCAAACTACAACGCACCCAATGTGGATCCATCGAGCTCTGAACTGCTTTGACTTTGCTCCGACTGTGAATCCGAGTCGTCCTCAATGGCCACATCTGGCTGCGAGGTTCTGCCCAAGCCCAGCGCGTCTTCCATGTCCTGGCCAAGCCGTCAACGTTGTCCCGCGTGAGTGTGAGTGGCAAAAACAATGATGGACTCACCACAGCCACGATTGGCACAACCGTTGCTGACACACGAACCAGCATACACACAAAAACGAGCGCACCCACATGTCGTCGCCATCACGCATGCACCATGACAAGCACAACGATGACGACACCCCCTCCCCTCCAACACACACACACACACACACACACACACATACACACACGTACACACACACGTACACACACACACACACACAAGCATAGGAGTATGTCCACGTACGGTGGCTGCAACGTCTCCGTCGTATTCACTCCGGCCTGCTGTGGATGGGGAACGTGGAGGGGTGTTGCCCGGTTCAAATACGGGGCGGTCAGGTACAAGGGCGCGGGAAGGAGATGGGGAGTGTGCAAGGTTGCTGGCAATTTCCTCCGGATCGTCTACCTCGTAGACTTCGTCAAACGGCTGGTTATCAACGACCTTGATGAACGAAAGCATGAACAAAACACAACATAGAGAGCTACTCGTGAGCAACGTCTCCAGCAGTCGTCACTCAAGCAAACCATTCCACACACACACACACACACACGACGCACACCGCGGCTGCCTCAACACCAACAAACCAACCAACAAACCAGCCAACCAACAAACCATCCAACCAACAACATCAACCTCGCACGTATCCACATCAACACGCACGTACAACAACATGAATCTCGTCGCGCACACCCACAATCCACACGCAACGCACTGAAGAGGGCTGGAGAGATGCTGCTTGCGCTCGACGCTGATTGGACATAGTAGACACAAACCCATGCACCCACGGGTCTTGTGTGTCAAACGATCTTCGTGCCTCCTGGTTTGCTTGTTTGCTCGCTTGCCTGCTCCGTCTTCCGTCAAACACACACACAACAACAGCAGTCGGGACGATGCAGCTGTTGAACGTTGTTTGTTGTCTTGGGCAGCTCAGCAACGGCGGCGGAAGAAAAAAAAAATACGGGCGGATGTGTGGCGACTTTTTGTGGTGTCGCAACCAGCGATGTTCGGCGGCACGGGAGACAGCAGCGCTGTTGGTGTTGTGCTTCGGGTGGCAGTGCTCACCACCCCATCCGCGTTCACTGGCAACGCCTGCCTCGCTCAACGAATCAAGTGGGGAGCCTGCGTGTGATGTGTGTGTGTGTGTGTGTGATGTGATATGATGTGATGTGTGTCTGTGTGTCTGTGTGTCTGTGTGTGTGTGTCTGTGTGATGTGTGTCTATGTGTCTGTGTCTGTGTGCAAACGTGTGTACGTGTTCATCTCTCTCTCTCCCTCCCTCTCTCTTCCCCCCCCCCTCTCCGTCTCTCTCCCTCTCCCTCTGTCTTTCGCTGTGTCTGCCTCCCGTCTCTTTGTGCATGTGTACAGGCACTGTGTGCGTGCTGTTGTGTGTTCAGGTCGTTGCCCCTGCCTTGATTGACTCACAGACCATGCATGTCGCTGCTGAATCCGATCGTCCTCCGGCTGCACCCTTGCAGATCATTTGTAGAGGCTGGAGTTGGTGCGACTGATGGTAGCGATGAAGAACGGGCGGGTCACAAGGCGCTGGAGTGCGTTGTGCTATCCCACACCAGCTATCAAACCCCGCGCGATCTGGATCTCGACTGCGAACGGCGCAAGATCAAGGCGCTCATTGGCATTCACGCCTATCGCAGCGGCCGCCTCTTACAAGGTCAGCACAACACATCATGTTTGAGGTTGTGCACCGCCTGCATGCTCCTTTTGAATACGCAACACCTTAGGGTTCTAAAGGTTAACCCTCACCTTTTCTCTGCCAAGACTCTGATGCTGATGCGGCTCTCTGATTCTGCTCAGAGACGCTTGATTGCGAGCAACTCACCCACGAGATTACATCCGCGTCCATGCGCAGGATCACGTATCCCGTATCTAATTGTCCTGGGTGGCACCGACACCACCATTTTCCTTCAGAGCGCCCAACACGTCGATGTCATGCGCGCAGCCATCCATGGCGCCAGGTCAGCACAGCAGCAGCCACAGCGCAACATTGTGCGTGTGACGCAATCTCGCACCCTAACACCCCCCCCACTCACTCACTCACTCACTCAATCACTCACTCACTCACTCACTCACTCACACATACACTCACTCACTCACTCACTCACTCACTCACTCTCACTCACACTCACACTCACACTCACTCACATACATACACACACACACTCACTCACTCACGCACACACACACTCACGCACACTCACTCACTCACAAACGCACACTGATTCGCACCCACCTTCATACCGGTTCATCCTCCACGCTGTGTATGACAGGGAGCTGGTGTGCTTTGCCTCCTGGATGGCGACAACAATGGAGCAAGCGATTGGCTCGATTCCGTGCCCTGTCACTATCATCCCACAAGGTGTGTCCCTGCCACTAACAAGAAACCCCTAAATCCGCCAGCACACCCCTCACCCGCACCATGTCATGCGTGCTGTCACAGGGATCTCCTCCAAATTGGAGGTGACGCCAACATATGAGCCAGCCTTTCACCTGAGAAAGAGTACGCGTGGGCTGTGCCACTCAAACATGCACCTGAAAGCTGTCGATCGCCTCTCACTGTCTCGCGCGCGCACGCACGCACACACACACACACACACACACACACACTCTCTCTCTCTCTCTCTCTCTCTCTCTCTCTCTCTCTCTCTCTCTCTCTCTCTCTCTCTCTTTCTCTCTCTCTCTCTCTCTGTCTCTCTCTCTCTCTCTCTATCTCTCTCTGTCACTCTCTCTTAGTCGCAGGAAACTCACTTATATTTTTTCTTTTTTTTTTT